ATCACCTTCAGATTGTAAAAGTTCTATAAAAGACACAAAAAGTACAAGTAATGAAAGAAATTAGTGTGGGCTTCATCAAATATGAAAACTGCTTCTCGTCAAGAGCAGGCCAAGGCATGAGCAAACGAGTGAAATAGGGATTTCAAAGGAGGAGCTAGACAGACAAGCTCACGATAAAGAAAGACTCCAATTTCAAAGACCGACAACACTGAGCAAGTGTCGGTGAGGACTTGGAACTCACACGAGGCTGCTGGAGATGTGAAATGGCTCGTCCACTTTGGAAGATGGTTTGGCCGTGTCACAGAAAAGTTGAAGGCGCACTTGCCCCCAAGACCCAGTGATCCTACTCCTGGCGACTGAGCCAAGAAAAAGCACATATCCCCCTCTGCCTTCAGAAGAATGCACTTCAGAGGACAGCACTGGGGCGACAGCTTGGGGAGAGGGGCGCGTCCGATTAGAGCACACGGGAGAAACGCAAAGGGATGGAGAGGGAGGGGAGGACATCCTGGCCCACCAAGTCCCTGAGGACAATGTTCCTGCTCGGAGCAGACAACACACAGGACTGTAGTGCTAGCCCCACCATGGGATACGGTGTCCCTCACTGAACCATGACACTGCAGGGACAGCACTGGAGGCACAGTGTGGGAATAGTGCAGGTCTGGCCCCATCACGCCTGGGGCAAGGCACTGAGGGCATGCAGCAGAGCAGCAGAGTGGTGAACCCCCCAGGGAATACCAAAAATAGACTTTGGAGACAGAATGGCACCCCATCAGACTCCACTGGAAAACACTCGTAAAGGCCAGCAAATAGATCTTGAGCCATTTATAGGCTTTTCCAATTTTGTCAGTGGCTTTCTTTTTGTTATTGTTATTTTGGTTTGTTTTTTGCTGTTGTTATTGTTTTGTTGGTTTTGACTTCCTTTGTTGTTTTATTTGGCTTTACCTGGTTCTCGCACTTATTAATGTAGCTGCATGCCTGTCTAGATAAGATAGGTGGGATAATTTAGAAATAATTTGGAAATGAAAATAACGGGACCAATGGTTCCAGGGTGGGGGGTTACAGGAGAAGGGGAGGGGGGAGAAAGGAAGGTGAGGGGGACCAACCAGGGACAAGGGAACAACAAGTGAACTAAAATCAAGGAAGGAAGGTGAATGCCTAGTGGGGCTCAATCAAGGGCAATGTATCAGCGAGGAATTACTAAACCCGAATGAAGGCCGAACATGATGGTGGGACAAGAGGGAAGTAAAAAGGAAATAGAGGAAAAAAACCAGAAGGCAAAGGACATTTATAGAGGCCTAAATACAGGCATGTTAATATGTAAATATATATAATGAGAGGGGAATAGAACTATGTACTCATATCTATATGTTAAGAATGACAGTTGCAGATAGACACTGGGCCTCAATTCAAGTACTCTCTTAACACAAGAACAGTTTGTTCTAACAATCCAGCATTCTGTGATGCTCACCTTCCTGACACACTTGCTGAAGACAAAAATGGGTGCATAAGTGTGGTGAAAAAAGCTGATGGTGCCCGGCTATCAAAAGGTATAGCGTCTGGGGTCTTACAGGCTTGAAGATAAACAAGCGGCCATCTATCTGAGAAACAACAAAGCCCATACGGAAGAATCACACCAGCCTCCATGATCATGAGGTGTCAATGGGATCAGGTATCCGGCATCTAAGACCCAGAACAAAATCATACCCAATGTGAATGGTGGGAGTGGGGGTACACATGAAGTGGAAACCCAAAGCCCATCTGTAGACAATTGGACACCCCCTCACAGAGGGGTCAGAGGGTACAGTATAGCACCTATGAAACACACACAACTTTCCTCTAGTTCTTTGATGCTTCCTTCCCCACCACTATCATGACCTCAATTCTACCTTACAAATTGGATTTGACCAGAGCATGCACACTGCTACAGATAAGAGGCCGAAACACAGGGAATCCAAGACAGATAAACCCCTCAGGGCCAACAAGGAGAGTGGAAATGTCAAGAGAACTAGGGGAGGGTGGGGGAGGGGGGCAGAAGCGAACACAAGGATCAACCTGGAGCCCACTCCCAGGGGAATGAATAATGAAAAGTGAGTGAGGGGTGATGGAGGACAATGTAAGATATGGAAAAATAATCTATAACTTATTAAGGGTTCATGAGGTGGGGGGGAGGGGGAAGAAATGGGGAGCTGATATCAGGGGCTCAAGTGGGAAGAGAATGCTTAAAAATAATGATGGTGGCCTATGTGCAAATGCACTTGACACACTGGATGACTGTATGGATTGTGATAAGAGATGTAAAAGCCCCCAATAAAAGTATTAAAAAAAAGGAAAAACAAAGTACAAGTCCATGGAGGGAGGGTGGGGTGGAAAGGGGGAACTGAGTACAAGGATCTACAATAATCTCTTCCCTGGGGAATGAACAGAAAAGCGGGTGAAGGGAGATGCCGGACATTGTAAGATATGACAAAATAATACTAATTTATAAATTATCAAGGGTTCATGAGGGAGGGGGGAGTAGGGAGGAAAGGGTAAAAATGAGCTGATTCAAGGGCTCAAGTAGAAAGAAAATGTTTTGAGAATGATGATGGCAACAAATGTACAAATGTGCTTGACACAATGATGTATGTGTGGATTGTGATAAGAGCTGTACAAGCCCCCAATAAAATGATTTAAAAAAAAGAAAAAGCACAAGTCCACAAAAAACCTGAGTAACACGAAGAACAACAGCTTTATTTGTGACAGCCCCAAACCAGAAACAAGCCAATATTCACCCAGAGATAAATGCGGCACCAATCTGCAGTCTGTTCTCACGTCAGACACTACTCGCCAATAAAAAGGAATGAATTATTGCCACATGCAAAAAACATGGATAGGTATGACAATGATTAGACTGACAGAAAGCCTCCAGACACAAAGGAGGGCATTCAGGAATCCCTCTCATGAGAATGCCAGGGAGGCGAGTGTGACAAAGGTCAGTCAGTGGGGACAGGGGTGAAAGGGTGGGAAGCCCTAGGGAACACTCACTAAACCAAAGCCAATCCCACCCGCTGGCAACCAACTGAGTCATACTGACCTTACAGGACAGAGCAGAGCCACTCCAAGTGTTTCCAAGGGTATAAATCTTTGTTGTTTGTTTGTTTTTTTAGGTATAAGTATTTAAGGAAGCCGACTGTCACATCTTTCTCCCCAAGAGTATCTGGCTGGTAGGTCAACTGCTGCCCTTGCAGTTGGCATCACTTCACCACTCTGTGCCACCAGGGCTCCTGAGTGAACCTTGACGGGGATGGAAATGTTCTCTAGGGATAGTGCTTACAAGGGTGTCGACCTGTGGTTCTCAACGTTCCTCATGCCGGACCCTTTCATACAGCTCCTCATGTTGTGGTGACGCCCCCAACCATAAAATTATTTTTGTTGCTGCTTCATCACTGTCATTTGCTACTGCTATGGATCATAATGTAAATATCTGATATGCAGGATGTATTAGGTGATCCCCGTGAAAGGGTCGTTCAACCCTCAAAGGGGTCACGACCCACAGGTTGAGAACTGCTGGTGTATACAGCTGTCCAGGGGACAACAGTTAAGTGCTTGGCTGCTAACCAAAATGCGGGCCATTGGGATCCACCAGCGGCTTTCTAGGAGAAAGATGTGACTTGACAGTTGGTTCTGGGAAGATAAACCCAACCCATGAGAATCAGTTTCTGTAAATAGTAATCGAAGCTCCAAACCAAACCCACAACCATGAGTCCGATTCACAATGACCTACTGTGCCCCAATAGATCTCTGAGGCTGTAATCTTTCTGCCACATCTTTCTCCCATGGGGTGCCTGGTGAGTTGAACCAGTAACCTTGAGGTTAGTAGTCAAGTACTTTAACCACTATGCCACCAGGGCACCCTCCCATGAAGATTAAACACACTTAAACCAAACCCAATGCCTTGAAGTTGATTCTGACCCAGAATTTTAGTAAGGATTGTGACCCTGGATACGCTGTAGAGCAGCTTCACTCTGTCCTGTAGGGTGACTCTGAGTTGGCATTCACTTGAGGGCAATGGGTTTGGGTGCTCTTTTGGTTTATACGGTTGTCAAAATTCATCAAAATGTACCCTTAAGACTGACTGACGCAGTTTATGGTACGTAAACTATGCAGCGATAAAGTACTGGCTACTAAAAGTTTTAGGAGACCTCGTGGTATATTGGGTTATATATTGGCTGCTAACTGCAGAGTCAGCAGTTCAAAACCACCAGCTGCTCCGTGGGAGAAAGATAAGACTTTCTACTTCTGCAAAGAGTGACAGTCTTGCAAACTCGCAGGAACCGTTCAGCCCTGTCCGATAGGGTCACCATGAGCCAGAATCTACCCCCATGCAGTGAGTTTGAGTTTGCTTGATTAATAAAAGCTACAGAGCATGTGTCACATTATTCACGTAGAATCCCAGTCAACCAGCTATTTAAAGAGTCACGACAAGTCACAGATAAAGAAAATACAGCGAAGAACTTTAATGAATGAGAGTGGCTTAATCGAGGCTTCCTTTTTATAACTGCGTCTAGGAAAGCACTTTACTTAAACCTCTCATTCTTTAAACACACACGCACACAAACTATTTCTGATGAGAGGGCAGAGAGCAGACTCAAACACTTCAGCTCAATCTCGGGGTTTTTCCTTATCTTGGACTGAATGCCCTATGCACGATTGCATCATTCATTCATACTGTTTGGTAACCGCGACCTAAGACAAATGAAACTCCCCAGAAATTAATTAGAAGTGGAAAACCTATGAAGTATTTCACCCGGGACAGATGAAGGGGATTTTAAAAATCAGCGGCGGAGATTGCAATCCATGACATGAAACATAGTATGTATGAATTGTTGCACGGAGAACGGATCGCTCGAGAAACCGTCACGCAACTCACAATAAAAAGTTAGTAAGCGTGGGATCGGTGAGCCCCCGGATGGGGGAGGCAGGACGGTGAACGAGCGAGCTGGGCGCACACCTGGACTTACCCGGGCGCTGCTGCTCCGGCCTGGGCCGCCGACACCAAGGCTCCCTTAGCTGTAACCTTCCGGCTGCAAGGACCGCGCGCTGGCCCGTCGCTCAGTCCCAAGGGAGTGGCCTGTGCGCCCCGGCAGAGCCCGCCCCAAACAGCCGCACGAGATCTGCTGAGTAAGTGGGGTGGCAGCCGCTCCGTTTGGCTGGTGCCTTGCTAAACGGAGACTGGTGGGTGGTGGGGCCGGACGCCCGAGCCACGCCCCCAGCCCGCCTCCTCGGGGAGGAGCTCCTAGGTTCCACCCACCAGGACCGCCCATCGGGGAAGGGACCCGCCCACGGGGCGTGGTTTGTGGCCCCGCCTCCTCCGCCTGCAGGCTGGAGAGCTTTCTCCGCCGACGGAGGCCAAGTTCGTTCTGGAAGGCGCGCATGGCGGGACAAGAACAAACAAGCCACCAGGGAAAGGCTGCTGGGAGAACCCAGCTAACAGGGCCTTTCCTGAAATCCACGTTTGGCATTACGCTCTTTCAGGAATTTAGGTACCGAGGGAGCTTCACAATCTATTTGCAACCAAAATACAACCACTGTAGAAATGCGGACGGCTTCCAATACAAGGAGTCGCCAATACTTGTTTTGTCGGGGGAGCAGCCGGGGACTTTCCAGTGGTGTCATTTATTGAGTTTCTTTTATGTCACTCAAATTCATCAAGTCCATGCTGACCCCTAGTCACTCTGTGGAACTGGGTACACAAATGAGTGAGGAGCCAACGGTTCTTCACACACACACACACACACATGCACGCGCGAGCGCGCACACCACCCCCACTCCCTCCCCCACCCCCAAGCAATGACTTTTGGGCGCAGCTGGCTGGACCAGGGCAGTGAGTCTCACTAAAATCCTTAAGCCTAAAAGCCTTAGACTCTAAGTCAGATCCCTGGGTTCCTGCTAAAATGGTCATCCAGCCTGAGAGGGTGAACTGCTGGGAAGAGTAATCTGCCTCTTGCTACTCAAACCCACCGCCCTGGGGTGGATACCTACTCTTAGCTACCCTATAAGCCCAAGTAGAACCGCCCCCCTAGAGTTTCTGAGGCTAGCACCTCTGTGGAAGCAGGTTGGTGGGATTGGTTCACCTGGGCGATTATCGAAGAAGCAAGGTAAGTCCTGGTTTATTCTGTGATCCAGTGAACCATTTCACTGAGATGTGGTGAGACACATGCGAAACAGCTCACTGCAGATTAGTAAGCACAAGGAAGCCCGTGCTTACTTTGCTTATTGGGTAATCAGACACTGATTTGAATGCCCTGTCATTTTGGTTGGCATTGAACACCACTAACAACAAGTCACCATCTAGTTGATTCCATCTCACAGCAGCCTTGGACGAAGCTTCCCAGACGGTAAGTCTCTCCCCAAACCAAACCCACTGCATCAAGTTGATTCCAACGCATCGTATGGAGTTTCTGAGGCTGCAAGTCTTTACGGCAGGGTTCTCAATCTGTGGGTTGAGACCCCTTTGGGGGCCGAACAGCCCTTTCACAGGGGTCGTCCAATTCATAACAGGAGCAAAATGGCAGTGATGACATAGAACAAAAATAATTTTATGGTTGGGGGGTCAGCACAACATGAGGAACTGTATTAAAGGGTCACGGCATTAGGAAGATTGAGAACCACTGCTTTATGGGAACAGGAAAAGCCTCACCGTTTTGGAAAACCACACTCCTATCCCATACCAAAGGAGCCCCAGTGGCACAGGGGTAACACATTGGTCTGCTAACCATAAGATCAGCAGTTCAAAACCCCCAGCTGGTCCACCGGAGAAAAACAGGGCTTTCTACTCCTGTAAAGAGTTACAGTCTAGGAAATGCACAGGGGAAGCTCTATCCAGTTCCACAGAGTGACTAGGGGTCAGCACGGACTTGATGAATTTGAGTGACGAAAGGAACCCTGGTGAATGCCTCAGTCACTACCCAGAAAGTGAATTGTTTGAGCCCACCAACAAACAGCTCTGCTCTAAAAGACCTGCTTCCATAAAGATTACTGTCCAGGAGACCTGACAGGACAATTGTACTGTGTCCCATTGGGTCACTAGGAGATAGAATCAAGTAGAGGGTACACAGTCACACCATTGTTGTCAACAAATGCCGAGGCTCTTTGATCAGATGTGCCTTTGAGGTTCAGTATCCCCCAAATTCCACTAGTAAGAAAATGCCCGCAGGTTTGGGTGGCCTGGTTTAACTGCTCGATGGACATGGCTGCAAGGAAGAATTTTGATGTTTTGAGTCGAAGATTAAACAGTGGAAGGGAACAAAGCTGGAAATCTGACATAACAATGTAGTCATTCATCTGTGTGCATCTTGTAAGTAATTTTTGAAATTGGTATAATTTCTGATACAAGATGTTCCACACATACAGATGTTTTAGATGAATATGAAGACCGATAACCAATTCGTTTCAAGGGGAAAAGGGACTTCAGTGCAATCAATGTGAATGATTAGAACAGTTCATCTATGCTATTATTTATACTTATTTTAAATTTTGATAGTATTTATATTTCATAGATGTTAAACTGTATTAAACAGCATTTAGCCACAAGATTTATATTGAATGTCACCTGTCAGTTGCTCAAAAACTCACCGGATCCAGGCGATGCCGACTCATAGTGACCCTATAGGACATAGTGACCGTATAGAAGTGCACCTGTGAGGTTCTGAGACTATAACTGTAGAAAGCCCGCCTTGTGGTTTTGAATTAGCCTTTGCAGACCACAGCGGATGCATAACCATTATACCACCAGGGTTGAAGTCAATTGCTCAGGACCCTGGAATACACGTCACACTGACCACTGCACTAACAGTTGTGGCCATGGGATGGCAGTGTTGTAGACATCGTCCAGCTTTCTTCCTGCCATCCTGTCCGTTCTGACTCACAGCAACCCATTAGGACAGGGTAGAACTGCGCTTGTGGGTTTCCAAAACTGTAGCTCTTAGAAAGACAAAAGAAAGTTTTATTGGTATATAATTTACATATCACACAATTCAATAGTTCACATCAAGAAGCGTTGAGCAATCTTGACCACAATCAGGTTTTTTTTTTTTCACAATCAGTTTTTAAAAATTTTCTTCATTCTTTTACTCATCGTGATTAGCTCCCCATTTAGCCCCCAACCTCCCCCGCTGTGCCCCCAAGGAACCATTAATCCAGTTATTGTCTCTTATAGACTTACCAATCCCGGATTTCATATACTGAAGAAAAAAAACTAACAATAATAGCAAAGTAAAGCAGATAAGAACCTCAATAGAAAAGAAAGCAGAAAGCATTAAAAACTAGGACAAATTTTAAATGGATCAAAAGGGAGATCAAATGATAAGGTGTTAAATGTTAACGTATCCGCATCTGCAATAATCCTCCTTCCAGTGTATTCTGCATGATAGCAAAGCTATTCACATCCCTGGTCTCTGGTCAGAGGGAATTCACCAGCGGTTTAATCCACATATATTCCCCACCCCACCCCAACTTGTTTTAAACCGAAACTACTTTAAAATGGGTCAAAGGGGAGATTAAATGATAAGATAATATTACAGTACATTTTAACCTAACTATGTCTGCCATAATGTACTCTACAATGCTCTGTCTGATAACAAGGCTTACCGTTTTGAAGCCCAAAAGCCATTTGCAAGGTTCCCACATGGATTCAGCCTCTGGAGAACCCCCGATTAGAGTTGGGGGTTGTGAAAAGCTTACAGTCTCCGAAACCCACAGGGGTCATTCAAGTCTGTCCTACAGGGTTGCTTAGGAGTCAGAATCAACTCTGGATGGCAGTAAGTTGAGTTAAAAAGCTCAAGGGAAAATCCCATTATCCTTTCATTCCACTTTAGCCACAAGCTTTGCAAAGGCCCCTCATACTATATAAGAACATTGAAGTCACATTAGCTCATTCTTTTACTAAGTTTTGATCATAGCTAGTAAATAAAAAAACAATATAGTATTCCTAAAGGTTTTCTATAGATTTTTGTATGCTGACACATTTTCTAATGATTAACTACGTTTGACATGCAAATGCAGTCCCATGTCTAGAATGCATCCTAAGCCATTTTCACGTGCGTGTGAAATACCATAGGTACAGCATCGGTAATGGCAAAACACTGGAACCAACAAGATTTGATGGGGGGAGGGGCTGAGGGGTGCCACCAAACCTAGTGATGCCACTGTTTTGTCTGCCTCGTCTCTGGAAGCACGGGTCCCTCCAAGGGACATTCTTTTTATTATTTTATAATTAGGTTGTGTATTTTTAGTAATTTCACAGGCAAATCATATACTTCAACAGTTCATTCGTGTTCATAAACGTTAGACACCCATCACCACAATCAATTCCGGCACACTTCTTCCTTGTACTCATTGTTGTCAGCTCCCCATTTCCTGTCAGCCTCCCCTGTCATGTCGCTTTGACTCTAGTGATCCAGTTGTTTCTATAGGTTTACCTAATCTGGGTTTCATATACAAAGAATTGTAAAAAATCAGGATAAAACACAAACAGCTCAACAACTATGAAACAAAGAAAAACCACAATTGACCCTTTTTAATGAGGTTGCCACTGAAGGAAATGAAGGAAGCCCCTAGCCCTCCCTGAACAGAAGCCAAAGCAAAGGTGTTAAAAACATGCTGAAAGATGTCCACAGGCACACCAATGGAAAGGAGAAGATCCTCACGTCACCTACCTTCTGGAGCCCCAAGACCCTGAGGCTGAGAAGGCAGCCCCAACGCCCTCCGAAGAACACCCAGAGGAACAAGCTGGACTACTGTGCCATCATCAAGCGCCCCTGACCACGGAGCCGGCCATGAAGAAGATGGAAGATAACAACACACTAATATGCAATGTGGATGATGACAAGGCCAACAAGCACCAGGTCAAACAGGCTGTGAAGAAGCTCTGTGACACTGACGTAGCCAAGGTCAACACCTTGATCGGGCCTGACGGCAAGAAGAAGGCATATGTTCCACTGGTTCCTGACTCTGCTGTTGCCAACAAAATCGGAATCATCTAAACTGAGCCCAGCTGGCTAATGCTAAATATAAACTTTTTCAATACCTTCAAGAAGAAAACCACAATTAATAACAAAGCAGAAAGTATAATAAGCTGGAGCAAATTGTCTAGAAGAGAATGAGGGCAACATATGTGCAAACATGCCTGATTCAATTGATGTGTGGATTGTGATAAGAGTTGTACAAGCCCCCGATAAAATGATTTTTTAAAAAAATAAAAACTAAATTAAAAAAAATTTAAAACCTGGCGCAATTATACATTGAGTCAAGAGGAAGCTCAATGACAAGGTGTCATATTTTGACCTAACTATCTGAGGTTGCAGTAATCCACCCTGCAGTGTACTCTTGTCTGCCTGCAGGGCCTTACCCATCTCTGGTCCGTAGTCAGAGGGGATTCATCTCCGGGGCCTTTTTTATGTCACCCTCTCTAGCGTTGTCAGGGGTGCAGTCCACAGCCCCACCCCCTTGGTGACCCCACTGGTTGCAGCCCGAGAGAGTACGGTTCTACTCTGAGACTCACCGAGTTGCGGGAGGAAGAATCTACTGGAAGGAAACTGGTCATACTGGTTTTCTCCTGGAATAGTCATGGCAACTGCACAACACATTTTCAAATTCTGTCCGTTGTATGCCAGAAATACTTCTAGCGCCTCCCCCTTTGCTACTCCACCATCACTGTTTAATTTGGGAAGTTATATTCATATCTCTGCCACATAAAATGTTTTACTACAAAAGTCGCACATGTTTATAGCATCTTTCCTCGTTTTTAAATAACCAACCTATACATCAAAGCAATATATATATATATATATGTTTTAAATACCAGTAGATTTTAGAAACTTGATCAATTTATCATTTCTTTGGAAAGAAAAACAAACATATAAAAATTGCCAGGAAAATTTGGAAAAATACTGATGGATGAGGAGCATTTAGCTTTAACAAACTTGGAAACATACTTTAAACTATAGCAAATAAAATCCTATGGCAGATCTGCTTTAATACATAGACCTATAGAATAGAATACAGCCCGATGGGGAGTGCTTATGGTTGCATTACATATTAATAGTGAGAAAGAGATTTTTATGGAAAGTAAAATGAAAAAATGTTCGAGTGAGTCTGACCTCACTCCTTACCAAAATAAATTCCAGATGAACCAAAGATTAAAACAAGAATCAATTAAAAGAAAGATAGAAAGAAAGAGACCCTGGGGCCCTTAGACATCCGTTAGCCCTTAACTCGCACCCTGGACACAACTTTCAGACCAGCCTGTAGGGTAGACAATAACGTAAGGGATATAAGCATCCCTTAAACAATGGATCATATGAAATGATTCATTTCATGAAGTGGCAGCATTTGCCCAGGTGTAAACCTCAGAAGGCAGGCAGGCATAGGAGAAGGCAAAGGGCGAAGGGCAAACACGAGAAGGACCTTTAAATGCTACCTGGATGAAGGGTGCTTTGAGCTCCTATGTATTGGCCTGGGAAATTCCTCAAAGTCATCCAAACTTGTGATGTGGGGATGGGGATAGGAGAATCTGGCCTCTTTCCTAACCTCTCTCAGAACTGCTCCATGTAGTCTTTTAAAAAGGAATGGGCTTAGGTGGAGAGCAAATGTTTTGAGAATGATGAGGGCAGCGAATGCACAGATGTGCTTTACACCACTGATTTATGTGTGGATTGTGATAAGAGTTGCATGAGCCCCCAATAAAATGAGTTTTAAAAAATGAATTCTTTTGTTGTTGCTATTTTTAAATATGCACAGTAAAAACACATACTGATTCAGCAATTTCTACTTGTAGAACTCAGTGATGTTGTTTACATTGCGTTGGGTAACCATTCTCTCCTTTCTATTGAGTTGTTCCTGCTTCATTAGCATAAACTCAGTGCCTCATACCTGTCCTACCTAATTGATTGTTTATGATTGTCAATTTGAGTCCCTACAGATCCAGACCATCCTTAAAGGCCCTCTTTACTAGCTAACATAACTATTATTAGGCTTTAAGAAGACTTTAGGAGATATTTTTGGTTTAAAGATGATTTCAGGCAATAGTTCCAGTAGTTGCAGATTTATTTTTGATAGAATGCTTTAATAGCAACACAGGGAATAACTAATTTAGATTACGATCATACTTATCCAGGGTAGCATGCTTGTGGGCGACACCTGAGTGGGGAAAATGGGATGGGGAAAAGTAGGGAGACTTGAGAGCCTGAGGCAAAGGGAGGAGGGGATCATAGGAAACGTTTTTGGGGGTCTCTCCAACACAGGGGTCTGACCTTGAGCTGGTCATTGAATCTCTCACTGTAATCCCATTACCTGAGAAGTTGGTTTAATAATACAAAACATATCATTGCTGACATGAGATGGATCTTGGCTGAAGGCAGAGAACACTGGAATGATGTTTTCGTAGGTTTTATTGATGAAATAAAAGCCTTCAGCAGCGTGGATCATAATAAGCAATGGTTATGAATGGGATTTGGAGAACAAGTCATTGTGCCCATGTGGAAACTGCCCACAGACCAAGAGGCAGTCTTGGAATAATAAAGCAAGGGAATACTGCCTGGTTTAAAATCAGGATAGGTGACAGGGTTGTAGCTTTTCACCATCCGTAGATGCCCAGTAAGTGGGAATTGACCCCATGGCATCTAAGAACAAAATGTACAAAAATCGGTTTTTATGTCATGTTCCCAATCCCAAAGACAAATAAAAATGTGATTTATCAAGATACTGATCATAAAAGGCAATAATGGAAACTAAAGAGACATTCCATTTAAGCCAGCATCGATTTACAAGGCAGTAGTCAGAACGAAAGCCCGTTGTAAATCGGGGTAGTCTTTAAATGAAATCTGGTAAAAGGGATAAAAAGCAGGGGGAGAAATCTGAAGGCCAAACGTGCGGAGGGTAAGAGGAAGCCCCGAAGAGGAAGGCCAGAATCCTCCAGGAAAAGGCTGTACGTTCCTTTCAGGTCCTGCCCCAGAGAACACCACACCAGAACCTGCAGGCCGCAAACTGCCGGGCGCACGCGCCACCCGGACGAAAAGGAGGTCGGACCAGGGCGCGGGAGAGGGGGCGGGACCACTGGCCTGTGGCCCAATGAGCGGACAGGGCCAAGCAGTGGGCCAATGGCAGCAGCGCTCCGGCTCGCGGGGGGCGGGCCGGGCGCGCCCGATTTTTCCAGAAGGGTCCTGCTCGCGTTTCTCGGCCACGCCGAGCCGGCCTAAGGGTTTCTGCCTTTTTTCCTCCTCTTATACCCGCCACCATGTCGGCTGTGAAGACCCTGAACCCCAAGGCCGAGGTGGCGCGAGCCCAGGCGGCTCTGGCGGTCAACATCAGCGCGGCCCGAGGGCTGCAGGACGTGCTGAGGACCAACCTGGGCCCCAAGGGCACCATGAAGATGTGAGCGGGCATGGCGGAAGGGCGGGCCTGGGGTGGCACACCTCTGTCCGCGGCGGCCCTGCGGGCGGCGAGCCGAAACCTGCCCCTCGGCGCTCCGCGTGGCCGCCGCGGTCTTCCCCGCCCGGCCGGCCATTTCCTCTAGTCGCTGCGTTTCCGTGGAGAACAAAGCTGCCCACGTGCGCCGCCCTCCCCATCCTCCAGCTCCTTCGTCAGGCCTCCGAAGCTGCTCTGTCCGTGGGGGTGGGCCCTGGACCAGCCCGTAGCTCCGGTTTTCCCGAGTTTAGAGAGGAGGCCTCCCCCCCCCACCCCAAACCATGGAGTCGATTCCAAATGAGCGGCTTTAAATTAGGCGGCAGTAAGTCCTTACAGGAGTGGAAAGCCTCATCTTTTCTCATGTGGTGGGCTGCTGGGATTGAACTGCGGACCTTGAAGTAAACAACCCAAGCCTAACCCATCGCCACAGACCACAGCCCCCAGACCCACTGCTGTGGACCCCATGGACAGAGTAGAACTGGGGAACAGAGAACTGCGCCTCGTGGCTTCCGAGGTGGCAAATCTGTGGGAATAGACAGGCTCTTCTCGCCAGTTTAGAAAAGTCGGGGTTGATGGGAAGTTTCCTTTGGATTGGAACACTGATCGCATTTCTGCCCGTCAACAGGCTCGTTTCTGGCGCTGGAGACATCAAGCTGACCAAAGATGGTAACGTGCTGCTTCATGAAATGGTGAGACGGCTTTGCCACCTGCTTGATTTCACGTGTTGCTGTGGATTTGTAGGAAGAATTTTAATGTCCATCTCTTCTGTCCCCGCACCCTCCCATGCACTGTAGTTTGGGTAAAAGTTGACAGAGTAAAATGCCGTATATACTCGAGTATAAGCCGAGCCTCCCCCCCCTCCCCCAGCATTTTAAATGCAGTTTTGGAGGTAAAATTAGGGGCCTTGGGGGATATTCGGGTCAGCTTATACTCGAGTATATATGGTAGCTTTCTGTTCCAGCAGTTAATTTTGTTTTGTCCACATTTTAAAGTCCATTCTTTGAAAGGTCTATGAAAATTAAATTATCTGGTGGTGAATATTTCAACCATTGGAAGGTTTGGAAAAGGAATGTAATCTATGATAATACTGACAGGATTATTGGTCAGCCCTATGGCCGGATAGTTTGGATCCGGGCTCTTTTATCATTTTTAATCTGTTAAGGGATGAAATATGTAATTGTAAAACGTGCTGGGCAAATGAGCTGAAGTATGAGGTCACTCAGTTGTACATATAATCACCCACGTTCCACAGTCTCCACAGTTGAAATCTGGGAGGGGGACATTACTTGCCCATGATTTGATTTCAGAATAAAAGCCAGAATTTTGATAATAGTATGACATCCCATCAACATCCCCAAACCAAGCCCACTGTCACTGAGTTGATTCCAACTAGCCACCCTATGCAGGGTTTCTAAGAATAAATCTTAATGGGAACAGACACCACCAAACTCACCGCCTTCATGTCAATTCTAACTCCTGGTGCACGACTCTATAGGAGGGCAGGGTAGACCTGAGCCTGTGACATCCCTAAACTGTTAAATCCTTACCGTGGTAGAAAGCCTCATCTTTCTCCTGTAGAGAAGCTGGTGGTTTAGAATTGACCTCGAGGTTAGAGTCCAATTCAGAATCTACTGCGTCACCAGGGTGCTTGTAAATATCTTTAATAAGGGCTAGCTGAGTAGGGGCAAGTGGTTTATATTTATCAGACATAATGGTGGCCTATGCCATCAGGGACCAATTGAAGCCACAGTTTAAACTTGAGGTCACTCAGAAAAGTCACAGCTGCATAGCAAGTATGATTACTGAGAACAACTATGAAATTTGCACATCTTGGACCAGAGGCTTATTTTCTTTAAAGCACATGACAGGGAACACCCATGTGCCATGTATCTTGGGTCACCAAATAATCATCATACCTAGGACATGGATGCTCAGTAACTGCCATCTAAGGTACCATACATGATTGTTTTCACATTGTCTCTTTCAAATGTAAAGCCGTTTTCCCAGATGGTGAGCTGAAAGATCTGTCTGTAATAGGACAGTACGTGCGTCTGGTGCCTTGCACGTACACTAAAATACTTAGTCTTCTTTTTATTATCATTACTGTGGGATTTTTAAAAATCATTTTATTGGGGGTTTGTACAACTCTTATCAGCATACATCCATTGTGTCACGCACATTTGTACATTTGTTGCCATCATCATTATCAACTTAAGAGTATTCTTACCAGAAATTTCCAACATCAAATTCAGATACTGAGGCAATCGCCAAGATGACTGGTCTGGATGTTTTTAAAAGGAGTCTCTAAAGATGTAACAGGCCTGGTGACTCTTCAGATTAAAGGACCAGATGAGAGATGAGGTGCCATGGAAACCAGACTGTGCAGGAGCCATTGTGGGATAGTGCTGGAGGCATGGCAGATACTCTGCCCATCCCTAGCTCCTCCACAGTGGGGTTGCTTCTGTTGAAAGTGTTTGCAAGAGGACTTCTCCAGTTGCTAGTTTGATGTCTTTTTTTTTTTTTTTTTTTGATGTCTTAATAATACTGGAGGCTGCTGAGCTTTAATTTCAGGAGCACACAGAGCTTGTTAAAAGAGCCTGAGTCTGGGGCATGGTCTTGAACTTGTTACTAGTTCTGGTTAAGTGTTTGTCATTTACTC